ACTTTTACCACAGTATGCCAAGAGCACTGATCTGGACAGACTCTCGGAGTCGAATGCCTCGGTTGCTAAGAAGGTCAAGGATATTGCAACAGCCATCCTATTGCACGCTCGCCAGGTGTCACTGAACCACCCCATGTTCAGCGAGGGCACGACGTCCGGTCAGTTTCTGGAGAAGATGCAGGCGTACACGACTGTTGAGGAATTTGTTAAAAAAGTACACCGCCACATCCATCGAAGCCACCAACACACAACCCGGTACACCGGCCAAATCTACAAGAGGATGTGCTGCGAGGGTGGGGGATGGTGACGATAATCGGGTAACGACGCTCGTCAACCACTGTACGCGACTGATCAACACCGTAGTCTTTGTCAACTACTTGCGTGACCTCCTAAACACACCGAAAGGGGATGTCGCAACCGCCGAGACTGAGAGGGGGGAGTTGCGGTGTGTACAACCTCGAGCTACCGCAGCTATATTCAATGCAAACGTACGACGAGAGTTTGGCATAGGCTTGCAGTTTAAGACGGTGTATGAAATGTGTGCGGCCGACTACGCTGCCATCAATGAGAATGTAGCAAGGCATACCGTCAATGTCCTAGCTGACCTAGCCGAGTGTACAGACGTAGATGCGATCCCAGGGGCTATGGATGCAGTTATCCAGCAGTGTATACTACACCCGTCCAACGCATACACTGGGTCAAAGATCAAGACTATGGCGGTGCAGCGGTATACTGCATATCTTACAAATACACAACTCATGCCACCACCTCTCGAGTATCCGCTGGCGATGACCGATGAACATCACCGACTAGATACAATTCTAACTGTGATTGCAGTGGAGACAGTGGAATCTGACGACGAAGACGAGGACGAGGCATCCTCAATTCTGAAGTGTAACGTGACCCCTTCGGTTGTACGTAACAACATGTACCTCTGGTACACAAACCATTGGCACATGAGTGATGGTGATGATAATGGTGATGGTGATGATGATGGTGAAGCAAGTGTAGATTTATTTGACAAAGCCACCGTGCGAAACATACAGTCCTTGCACAGTAAAATTTGAGATTGTCCTCGGAAAAAACTCGGATCTGCGCTAATGTGCCCCTTGGCACGAGATCCAGCAAATTATAGGCTGTAGTGGTAGTAGTAGTGGTAGACTCGGAAGAATCGGTACTCTCAACGACCTTCTTGCACCGCGGGCACGACTTTTCCCTGGCAAGTCACTTTAGGGCACACACGCGGTGAAACGTGTTTGAACATTCCAGCGTCACGCCAGAGTGTTCGTCCAGTGCGTGATCATGGCAGATCGTGCAATCGAGTTCGAGTGAAAAGGGGACACGAGGTAATCGGTACACTGCCAGAATGTCGGCGGGATCAAGATCGCGGTTCGGGGGCGTTGTCGACGACTACAGATGAAACCGAAATAATTGCATCGTTGCCTCAAATTCGGCCAACAGACACTGGTCTCCAGGTGTCAACTTGGACGGATCAGATAGTGCAAAATTACCATAAACTCTTAGTTCCAGTTGTAGCATGTGCGTAAACACCCTGTCGCCGACTGCATAGTCCGTGTACAACATGCAGAACATCTGTAGCAACCAGACACTCATGCAGTTGCAGACCGCAATGCCGAAGCCGTTTCTGGGTTTGGTGACAAGATTTGCTAGGACTAGGACCTCGGGAATCCGAGGAACATGACTTGGGGTCAGAATGTAGTCTTTGATCGAAATGACCAGTTCGGGTGACAGGTTTTCAAGTGCGGCATTGTTTACGCCAAAAAAGTTCCCTCCATCTCTCGGTATCTTCGACGCCTAGTAATGACAACATTGTTGAATTTGCCACGGGCTTCCTAACATCCCAACGAGTTCCTTTATAGGAAGTTCGTGCGATTCTTGTTTGCTAAAAAGTTGGTTGTATAAGCTCGGAGTCCCGGGTCTCCCCAGACATGCATGTAATTCTTTGCCTCTATATATATATTAATTTTTTTTGGCAAAAAGTGAGGTAAAAATCAGTCAGCATGACAAATTTTACGGGCTTTATAAAAAAAAGTAGTTTTCGATTCAGCATACAAAAAGGTATTTTCGATTTGGCATTGAAAAAAAAAGTATTTTGACATTTGGCATATAAAAAAAGGCAAATAAACGGTTTGGCATGAAAAAAAAAAGGTAAATATGGCACTAAAAAAAAAGAGTATTTGGCTGGGATGACATTCGTCGGAAACCAGTTAAGACTGGGTATGTCATCCAGACGCATGAATCACCCAAGCTTATAAAACCAACTACTATCCAGGGAACAGAGCACCGAAAGGCCTCGACCATGGACTTTACAAGGGGTAATAAACACTCCCGTAAACGTGTTAACGATGTCGAATTTAATCGCTTCGATCGTACCGCATTACACCAGCCCGCAGAGGATTTCCACTCTGACGAGGTGACCGAACTTAATAAATCGGTCGACGATTACACCATTAAGATGGAAATTGCCCATGACGAGCACCGTGCTGATGGCGTATCATATTTTGTTAATATGATCGCGATCAAGCAGAAGCGCATCGATAAGCTACTTCAAGCCCAACGTGGGCAAGACCACCGGGATAACCAGAAGTACAAGGGACAGATCAGTCGACTTAAGTCGAACTGGGATGCCAACAGCAAGCAGGTCGAGTTTATAAACAACCATGACCTCGACACGCTAGTCCGTACGCTTGCTTTTCTGTTAGACTGTCACCCGTAGAGAACTACAAAAGTTGTTTATTATATAATGTTGGCTAGAGTATTTATACTAATTATTTATGGCATGACTAGTTCATGACCAAGGGGAATAACCTCTGTGAGGAAAAACCCATCTACAAAGAGTATTCTACTGATTCTAATTGGTGTTCGGATACTTATAGATGATTCCCATTGGCGACTTGGACTCTTATATATGATTCCCATTGGTGGCGTTTACATGACCCCATAATAAAATGCGAGGCCCGCCCCTGTGGAGTGTGGACCCTCTTCTATTTAATTTTTATGCGTGTGTACGTGTTCGTATTCATTTTCGAAATCACAACTTAATTGGTAATAATGTGTGTGTATGTGTTCGTTTTCGTTTTCATTTTGCAAATGTTTTTTTCCCGCGCGCAAATGTGGGATTTGTTTACCATATAAAAGTTTTATATATATAGATAAATGGATGTTGGGAAAAAATGGTATATAAAGGGCCAATTGTTGTAGCCACGCAAGGACTGCCCCCCCCCCC